GCACACATAACTACACGTTTGGTATGCAAAAGGAATAGTTGGCTTGGGCCAATCTGCAGTAAATGAGAAGATTGTCTTATGATTTATTCTGTTTCACTAAATATCAGTTTCAAATGTTGCATTATCGAAGTTTTCCACTTATTAGAAGAGTTTTACTGACTGTAAACACCTCAAATACTGACTAAAATACCTTTGCAGCTGTTGTTAACACCTTGATGACTTGTGAAAGCATAAAAGCCAACTTTTAAATGCTTGAAGTACTTATTCGTGCAAAAGTGCATTTGATTGCAAGAGTATAAAATAGACAGCGTGTGCATGTTGTGGTGCAACAAGACGGGGGTTTCCATAAGAGGCCCTATAGAGTCACAGGTCATTGAGGGGGATGAACTGGCAGAGGTTATGAGTTCTTTGCATGTGTGCTGATGTGAACTTGGTCTGCATGGATCAATATGAGCATGCCTTTGCAGAAATAGCAGTGTTTATGTGTGTGTGTCTGTGTGTGTGCACTTTAAAACTTTAAAGCTTTAAAATTGTAGTGTGTTGCCATTTCAACATTGTGAGGACATCTTGCCGGTCCACACAATGGCAAAATACCTTTAAACGTGGTTTTAGTGGTATAGTGTGAATTAACTTTTGGTTTAGGTCAGGGTTAGGAATAGCCTGGCAAGCCAGACTAAATACATGTATTATTTAGTCTGGCAGCGCTCCATTGACGGCTCTTGGTTGTGGGGCGGGTTCTACCGTTGTCTTTCAAATGATCTCCGCATGCTGCTGCTGGACAATGAATGTGACATACTCACCGCAACAGCCATCGGTAAATGAGGCGGCCCGCAGTTGAAGAAGGAGAAAAAAAATAATTTTTTTCTAAAAAAAAGCTCTTAAATACATCTATCTGCTCCTGATTCTAATGAAGCCCAAGTTCTAATAGTCCAAAATTGATATAAAAGCTGTTTCAAATGAGCTGTCGCCATCTTGTTTCACTCTGTTGCATCATCCCACCCACCAGGCATAGAGAGTGCCCTGATTGGCCCACAAAGCGGATAAAGCACTGTGATTTGTTCACTAAGCAGATAGAGCACTATGATTGGCCCACCATTATGGACCAATCACAGCTCTTTATGTGTTTGAAACCCCTCTAGAGAGCTGTGATTGGCTAGCCAGAATGCTGTTAGGGGCTGCAGAGGTTCCAGTGGAACGTTCCTAGACCGAACTTTGCTAAGCAAGAATTTGGTCTAGTTCACTAGGCTAGGTTAGGAATAGAACAGCATTGGTTATGGTTAGGGTATGGGTTAGGCATAGTGGAGTCACTAAAATGAATGAAAGTCAATGCAGGGTCTACTCAAGGATACAGAGACAAGTACATGTGTGTGTGTGTGTGTGTGTGTGTGTGTGTGTGTGTGTGTGTGTGTGTGTGTGTGTGTGTGTGTGTGTGTGTGTGCATGAGAAAAGTCAGTGAGGTCGCTGTGGAATGAGAAACCAGTGTGGCGAGGTAGCTGGAAAGCCTGCAGTGGGACCTAAACACTGACTTCATTGTGGTTTAGCCTCTGCCTTATATTTTGTTTGGGGGATTGTGTCAGTGATTGCGGAAGAATTAGTGGTGACAGCGAGTTTTAGGAGTTGAAGAGGTGTACGTGCAGCTGGAAGGTTGCTGGTTTGAGTCTAGCCCTTGGAAGTAAATCATGAACTGCCAGCCTTACAGTGGGACAGCCAGTTGAGGTTTTGCAGTTATGTCACAAAACTACACTCGACCCATGTCTGGCGCCATTCAAGAGTCCCTCTCTTAGAGGCAAATGCTAAAAACTACTGTCCAGTAAAAACAGATACCTGTGAACATGTTTGGGCTTTGGGTGCTAGGTTTCAAGTACAGAAAGGGAAAAGTTCTTTTTTCCTTTCTTTAAGTTTTGGTCAAATGGAAACAATGGCTTTTAGGCTGAAGGTTAGCTGAGAAACCCCAGCATTCTTCATTCTCAGCCTTCATATTTGAGTCGGGTTGTTGCAACCCGTTGTTCTTGTGAAGATTGAATGGTGGGTGGTTAAAGTTAGCGCTGCCATGATGGAGGAGCATCATGGTCAATCCTTAAGTCTGCTGGATAATGTTGGAACAGTGAGCAATGGTGGAGTGGTTAGTCTCATGGTGGGTCGATCGCCATGTTTCCACTGTAGGAGTTCCAGGAAATGTCTAGGAGGGGGGAAATACGATGGTTCGTTCCTCTCAGCTGTTGTGTCTCCATGCAGAATTGGCCCTTTCAAGACTTAGCTAAGACGCCAGCTAGAGCTGTAGCGAAGTGTCGATGACGTCGACGGCTCGATTCTAAAAATTAGTCGACATCAGATCCGGTAGTCGATGCACCACGTCCACTTGTTGCATCCACAGGAGTTTGTAAATAGAGGAGGAATCTGCGTTTTTCCTCATGTTCACCCTCTTCTCCGCCTTCACTAACACCTCTGCCAAATACCGAAGACCCGGAACAATGTCCGTCCGCTACTAGATTCCTTTCCTGTTTTGCCCGCCTTCGTCTCCCGGCAACGGACAACAACTTCCGGGGTCAGATGCGCTGCTTCGTCTCTACCGCAGATGTAGAAAATCACCGGGAGCGTTTCTCCCTTCATAAAGAAGCTTCTTTCAGACATTAGGAGAGCTGTTTTGGTGGTAGCAGTCTCTCCTCCGTGCTGGTCTGTTTGCTGCTGGGTGTTTTTGGTTTATTTAAACTTGGTAACTTGAACTTAACGTTGGTAAAGCTACTGTTAGCATCTTCGCTAACAGCTTCTTGCATTTGGATAAGCTGTTACATTTTGGTTTATTAGTTTAGAGTTAATATTTTTTGTGGTGTAGATCTCCCTTGTATTACATTTAGAGTGTTGTGGGTTTTCGATTTAGTTTAAAATATCACCTTGAGTTTGGTTTAATCACCCAGTTTAGAGTTTGGACCTTTGGAGATCCTTGTTTTGGTCCAGAACTCTGTAATCTTTGCCCAGTAGGACATCCCTACTTATTTGTACTTTGTTTTAATTCCCCACAGGCAGAATTAGTTTTATTATTCCCAACCTGTGGATGGAAAGGTTTATGTTTTTTTGTTGTTGTAAATGAACCTGATCATCATTTTAACTTTTAAATCACATGTTATTGTCCCTTCCTTTTTTGCACACGAGTGAAACTCCCCAGGAAGAGTCGTAACACCACTCGCCTCACACACATAAGTGACCAGAACAAAGCAGCATGGAGACACTCCGTCTCCAACCACCTCTCAGGCAGCAGCCTGCACTCCCAAGTTCTACATGTCACCAGAACATAACCAACCGCAACCCAATAAAAGCAGTGTTATACAAAATGGAAGGCCTTATAGTGTTTATTCTCTTACAGTACCGAATCCGATTTATCAATTTTTTGAAGAATTCATTTGAGTTTTTCTGGTTTTTATTAATTGTGCAATAGAAAAATAATAGTTAGATTAATCATCTAAATTGTCATTAGAATAGTCGACTATTCGATAAAATAATCGTCAGAATATCTTAGGTGTGTTCTTGCTGTGTCTTGGTTCTAATTACATGCTCTCGTTCCTTTTTAAAACGCAGAAACGGTTCCGTTACCTGTTTTTTTCCTCAGCCTGAGGAAGTCTGCAGCCGCAGATGAAACGTAGCGAAAAAACAGGTAACGGAACCGTTTCTGTGTTTTAAAAAAGAGCGACAGCATGGAATCGTCAGAATAATCATTTTAAAAGTAATCGTTTACCCCCAGCCCTTACGTCAGCTTACCTGCAGTGAGTGATGTCACTGATCAGAACCAAAAATGTGTTCACAGACTTTAATAACGTTAAAAGCTTTAATCCGTCAAAGTGGCGTAATGTAATCCAGCTGTGGCTGTGTGACATTAAAAGTGGTGTTCAATAAACACCGTTTTTCACAACGCTTTGATGGAGACCATAAAGTGGCCAAAATGATGGTGTTGTGGGTTTTCCGTTGCATTTTTCAGCATTAGGGAGTTTAGAAAAGATTATTTTAAAGAAGCATCAACACTGCTATTTTTTTCTTCCATATTGTATCGCAAACAACTATTCCAATTTTACAAATGCCGTTTTCATGGTGATGTCTGCCAATGTAACTTCCCTTTTAGTTACAATCAGTCAGCATGAGTTAACCACAAGTAGCACTCATCCACTCTACCGAGCTGTGTTTGAGTACATACACCAGTTCAGGTACTCGGTTAGTTTCTGAAATGGTCTGGAAAATGGTCCTTTTGGGCCGACCCGGTAAAATGGAGACATGCGCATACCCTGAACAAGTTCTGTTAGTGGAAACAGGCTTTTTGCTTCCAAGCAAAATGACTGGTTGATGTAGTTAGTTAAGGTCGGGTTTAAAGATTATGACATTGGTTTTGCAAGGCAGTTCCTAAAGCCTGAAAGTGTCAACTTTGTCGGCTACCGGCTATTTTCCTGCAGGTTTGACATTTCCCTGCAGTTTAATTACTCTGGTTACTCCAGTGAGAATATATCTTTGAAGCTTATTTCTGGACCTTGAGTCATTCAGTTTAGGATCACATCAAATGACTCATGGACTGACTCATCTACAAGATCAAAACATCACAAATTACACCCGTTTAGCACCTCAGGAGTTAACCACAGAAAAGCAAAGAAACAAAGGCTACGTTCACACTCCAGGTGAAAGCCTGCCCTAATGGCTTGCCCTCAAAATCGAAGAGACAAACAACAAAAAGTGGGGAACTGTGTTGCTTTTGAATATAACTCAAATAAAGATAGCTTGAACATTGGGTCAACAAACAAACTTTTGTTTAGAGATGTGTCTTTTTGATGTATTTGTGTAGTTTGACTTATTTTTTTGTGAAACCCAAATAAACCTAGTTGTTTGTCTTGTTTTTTTATTTCTTTCTGCATGAAGTAGCAGTATTTTATCATAATGCATCTTTTTTTCCACATTTTAACAGGATTTTACGACGACAGCCATAAATTTAGTTGGATAATCTGTTTTTGTCCTCTCTCCTGTAGGAAATAAAAGGCAGCCACTATGCTTTCGCTGGACGAGCCATTGGACTTGAAGCTTCCCTCTGGACAAACTCGAGGCTCTGTAATTTTGGGAAAGAGGACTATTTCTGCCTCCTTGTATGCCCCTCTGAACTCTTCACGACAGAGGCTGCAGTGCACAACCTTTCCATCCCCTCCCTCATCACCAGGTACTTGATAATCAGGGCCACATTAGAACAACATGCTGTATTTAGAGCCACAGACGTAGAAACAAGCTTGGTGCAAATGCACACATGACAGCAATAACATTGTGCAGCAATGAGTCCATTGCAGATAATTTAATATTGTCACAAGATGATTCTCTGTTCTCACTTTCCCTACAACCCGATAGTTAAAATCCAACGAACAGTTGCTCTTTTCTGTCGTCAGACACAGCGTCAGCAGGTTTGAGTGTTGCCTGTAACCAGAGGTGTGTGACAGTGACATGTAGTGATCCACAGCTCAAACAGATACTATAAACTCTTTAAACCCATGGTACAACACGATGAAAGTCCTAGACATACACCTATTATGAGTTAAATTAAAATATGAGTAACAGCTGCAGGTATTTTTGCAAGATTCCTCTTTTGAAAATATTAAGATAAGGTAATAATGAAGCCTGCTTCGAAGCAGATTTCTGCCAACTTTAAACAACTATATTCTCAAATGCTACATATACAACAGCAGAAAAGAAAATGAGAACTTGCTAGCTTCAGCACTTATGTTAGGAAATGTCAACACTATGTGTAATGGGAATCTAATTAATTAAAGCTGTTATTGCTAATCTGCAAACAAGCTAAGTTTTGAACACATACAGGGTCACAAAACACTCACCCTCCCCTCGGGTATCTTTCCTGGATCCGCATCCACTGGAACCAGAAACCCGCATTGCCAGAAGAAACGAGATTATGCTAAACACCAGTCGCTGTTTTATAGGTCCAAACATCTTTTGTTGTCCGTGACTTCAAACGGTGTTTTCCTTTTTGGGACCCTGGCAGTTTGTCCATAGTTGAAGTGGTAACAGCCGGCTGTTTCTACTTCTCTGGTATTGTTGAACGAAGAACCTCTCACACCAGTGGTGTTCTGTTGCTAAATACATGAGTGCGTAATGAGTGGAGGGTCCATGGAACTGTGGCGAGGCTGATAACTCCTACGCCTATCTCCTGCGTTAGCTTCTGATAGAAAATAGACGGTGAAAGTCTAGGATTTGAAAATCCTCACACTGTGATGTCACACTGTGAATTAGCATTCATGGTCTCAACTATCTTGGCTCGCGCCCTTCCACAGGAAAACTTTTTAAAAATGTTTTTTGCAGCAAGGAGAGGGAGTGGAGAGTGTTTTGGTGGTAGTGACTTTGAATCATGGCTGAACGTGTTCTGTTAGCCAATCAGAAGCTAGGTGTGTGCATATCATTAATAATAATGAGTAATCCTGCTCACTTCAGCCCACCTCTGCACAAGCTAACCTTTGCATCTCAGAACAGGAGCATCATAGCTTTTTTCCTTAATGACTCATATATCATTGATTTACAATAGACAACATTGCAATTGTATTGAATAAATGAGTAAACTACACCTTTAATTCATTTTCAACAACATTGTGGTGGATATTTCCGGAGATTAATGGTAAAATCTACACATCGTTTCTTTAATATTAACAATAATATTAAGCAGTTGTTGATACTTTATTTAATAGTTTGTTAAAGCTTAATAATGCACTAAGTAATGTTAATAAAAGGACTGTTATTGTAAAGTGTTACCAGTTAGTTGTGTTCACATCTGTGTAATCTGTGCGTTTTCCATGCTCAGCCGACCGTGTTTTTTGGACCTGCTCTCTGGCGGTTTGCTTTTTTGAAGCCAATACAAAACACCCACTACCGACTGATTGGCTGGCTGAGGTTCACACCTGCCTATAGTGGGAGCCTCTGATTGGTGGATATAATCAGCCTAGCAGCAGCTTCCTGCATGTGTGATTCATAATGAGTCTGGATGTAGTTGATTAAACATCTTCTCTGACTTCTACTCGGACCTACCACTCCAGCCGTGGCAGTGCGAGGACTGACTGTCATGAGGAGCACACAGCAGTCTCAGTGAGAGAGTAAGAAGCTGTGTGCTTAATGTCAGAGTCTCCAAAAGCAGCAGTGTTTATGGCCGTCTTTGTTTATTAACTTAAGGAGAACACAATGGATTTTGCACGTTTTTTGCGCCGTCCAAGTGCTCTGAGACATTTGCGTTCCTGAGAAGGCTGTGTGAATGACAGACACCATGGTATGAACAAAACCTGGCCACGCGGGGGTGGGCCGACCAAATCAAAACTGGAGGACCAGATGTAAAAATTCCATAAAGAAAGTCAAAAGTCATTGTCAGAGAAGAGCACAGTTACACTTTAGATAGATCAGAAAGACCATTAAAGCTAAAACAATGTAGATGGTGCAGCAACTGAGATCAAAAATGCAATCAAACTAAAATGTACACCCTAACATGTGTTTCAACTCTTATCTTGGTTCCAGATTCCCAGTCTTCTCAGGAACGACCCGGGTCCTGCTTCACTCCTCCAGCCATGGACCTCAGCCTATCTCCACCCTCCCTCCATGCCCCTTCCCTCTCCCCATCTTCATCCTTGCCCTCTTCTCCTTGTCCTTCTTCACCCCTGGAGTCCAGCAGCAGCCCTCAACCACACCTCCTTTCTCGGGTGAGCAGTGTTGACCAGTACCTGTGGATACTTTTTGTCAGGGGCGTTTTTAGTCCATTTTCGGGGGTGCTGAAGCACCCCTAAATAAAATCTAAGCACCCCTAAAATTAGACAATTGAAAACAATAAATTATTACTATGTGTTTATTTTAAATACACTTGTAAAAAATAAAAAGCACACAGTGCTTGGTTGGTTGAAGTTATATTTTAACAACAAAAATGCAGCAAACCTCCTCTGCCACAGATTTCCAAGTATAGACAGGTTCATGCTAAAGCCTAAAGAAGAATCTAACATTAAGGTGCTGGGGTTGTGTTGTTTCAGATACATACAAATGCTTTTAAAGCACATTAAAGAAAGGTTAAAGTAATTTAATTGAATCCTTGATTGCTTATTCTGACTTTGTCAGAGATTATAGTCAGAGATCTCTTTTTTCCTCTTGTCGAAATATCTACTAAATGAGCTTTGTTGTCAGTTTAGAAAAACCATAATTTTGTTTCTATTTAGTTTTAAAATTTAGGATTAAAAAATGTGCAAAAAGTGTATGAATATATTTTCAATGGGATGTTGATATTAGTGTAAAATTAAGTAAAAGTACAAATAAATAAGAATGGCCTAAGTATCAGGGTTCTGCTTTTTGCAGATGATGTGGTCCTGTCTGCTACATCAGAATGTAATCTCCAGCTTTTACTTTTCGCAGCCGAGGGTGAAGCGGCTAGGATGAGAATCAGCTCCTCCAAATCTGAGACCATGGTCTTGAATCGGAAAAGGGAATTCCTTCTTCAGATCAGAGACGAGGTCCTGCCTCGAGTGGAGTTTAAGTATCTCAGGGTCTTGTTCACACGTGAGAGAAAGATGCAGTGTGAAACCGATAGGTGGATTGGTTCTGCGTCTGCAGTGATGCGGGCGTTGTATCGATCTGTGGTGGTGAAGAGAGAGCTGAGCCAGAAAGCAAAGCTCTTGATTTACCGATTGATCTATGCTCCAACCCTCACCTATGGTCATGAGCTTTGGGTAGTGACCGAAAGAACGAGATCGTGGATACAAGCAGCCAAATCTAGTTTTCTCTGCAGTGTGTGTGCTCTCCTTTAGCGATAGGGTGAGAAGCTCGGTCATCCGAGAAGGGCTTGGAGAAGACCTGCTGCTCCTCCACTTTGAGAGGAGCCAGCTGAGATGGCTCAGGCTTCTGTTCAGGATGCCTCCTGGACTCCTCCCTGATGAGGTTTTCCAGGCATGTCCAACCAAGAGAAGACCCTATGTCTCTCGTCTGGCCAGGGAATGCCTTGGTATTCCCTCAGAGGAGTTGGTCCATGTAACTGGGGAGAGGGAAGTCTGGGCCTCTCAGCTTGGGCTGCTGCCCCCACGAACCAACTCTGAATAAACGGCTGAAAAAAGATGGATGACAAATAAATAAATACAAAAATACTATTAGTACTTTTAGTGGCAACTCCAACAAATGTTTCATTCCCTGTGCATCTTTCAGTGTTTCCCCTACATAGACTCAGGCGTGGCACTACAATTTCTGGCGTGGTACAACGCCATCAACCCTTCATCGATCTCACAGATGTGAAAGAGTCTGCGAATGTACCCCACTCCCCTCACATAAGGCACATGGCAGCGAAACCACCCCCCATCCCACGGCTGGAAACATTTCTAGGGGAATCACTGTCTTTAATCTGCTCGTATTATAAAACTCCAACAACCTGGACACATCAAGCCTGGACTAGCTAATTTTCCACTAATGGCAGAGTCCTTAAAACATTTGTGAAACCTTTACCTCTGATTTGTGAAAGTTAAACTTCCTTCCCTGAGGGCCGGTATCCAGCATGTTTTGGTTGTTTTCCTAATCCAACACACTTGATTCACCTGTTCAGCAGCTCTGCAGAGGCCTGCCAATCACCTGTTGATTAAAATCAGGTGTGTTGAAGCAGGAAAAACAGTGGGTGTTTCTCAGTGTCAAGGCACCTGGCCCTGTGAGGCGATGTCTTGCGAGGCCAGGCGCCTTGCTTACGAGGACACTGTCCTTCCTTGGTCAAAAGAAAACGGTTAAATGGAACAGACTTGCATCACGTGACTGCGGCTTCCACGGCGGTCACGTAACGTCACGTGACACGGGAGATAACGTTACATTTTATATGTATTGGTGTCAATATAAGTATATAACAAGACTTTTACTTTTTAAATTGTGTATTTATTTATTAAATTAAATATATAAGCGAGTTACTACCCGCTATCCACCGAAGCTGCAACTACTAAGCAACTAACCATCCATAGAAAACTTCTGTGGATCTAAAAAATGTCACGGTGTGGAGGGAAGGTGAGGGAGGAAGAGCGGATCCTTCAGGCAGGTAAATCAACCCAGGCCAGACAGCAATAGACATTTGGTTCCTCTTTAATGGTCAGGAGTGCAGACACGACAGGGTAGACAGATGTGAACATAAACTGACATGTAACGAGTACGAACCGACAAACCCACAAACAACACACAAGGCTTATATACACACTGGGATGGGTAATCAGGTAATAAGAGGCAGGTGGACACAATAAAGGTAAAACCCAAGGCACAGGGGAGCAACAATGTGACAATACCCCTTCTCAAGGGCGGCTCCTGACGCCCAGCAGCACCCGTTCATGGTTAACACACAAAAACATAAGAGTCACCAAAGTCCCTGAGAGTCAGGGGACTAGCATCCAAGGGCGGAGCAAGGCCACTGGGCACATGGACACATCAGGAACAGGAACTCGAGACCATTGGAACCAGGAGCACAGGAGGCGAGACCAGAGGAACTAGGAGACCACAAGAACACAAACTTGAAAGACAGGATTACTCAAGCGGGGCAAAGCAGGAACCGCCTCTAACCAGTTATAATGAAGGCAACCAGAGGAGCAGCAGGAGGACGAGTAGGCATGGAGAAATCCAGCAGCAGCGGCGTAACGCCCCTCCCTCCCACCAGAAGAAGAGGAGGCATCCAGAGGAGAGACACCGCACCGAAAGCGCAGATCCAGAAGGCGAAGACGCAGCGCCCTCGAAGCCTGACCCACCAGGAACACAGAGGTGGCGCCAGGTTACGCTGTGCCAGGCCAGCAGCGTCAACAGCAGATGGAGATGAGGAAAACGACCAGATCAACTACCCAAAGAGTCGTGGATGCACCAATCCGGCGTCGCGTCCTCCTCGACCTTGAGCACAGGACATCCCCAGAAGACCTGGGCAACTCAATGCAGGATCCTTTTGGTCGGTTCGTTCTGTCACGGTGTGGAGGGAAGGTGAGGGAGGAAGAGCGGATCCTTCAGGCAGGTAAATCAACCCAGGCAAGACAGCAATAGACATTTGGTTCCTCTTTAATGGTCAGGAGTGCAGACACGACAGGGTAGACAGACTTTTAAACTTGAAATTTGCCCCCGAAGTAGCTGCCGGTTTCTAATCCGCCATCCTTTAGAAAATACTGCGGTGTAGTCTGGGAAATTTTTGACCAAGGCTGGGCTACAAGACACCTCCTGTGCATCCTTACTCAGCTAGCTAAATGGCTTACAAACGGAGAACACACGCCTCGGTAGAACATGAACATTGGAACGCGTCTTGGCGGCTCCTAATGACCTATCTCCTAGGCAACCAGGGCAGGGCCAAGACATCAAGGCCAGGTTCCTTGGCATTGGGAAACACCTAATAAAACATGTTGAAAACTGGCCCTCAGGGAAGGGAGTTGGATATCACCAAGAGCATTTGAACCTGTGAGTGTTTTGCTTCTATTTTACAAATGTGGCACTGAAATTATGTTAAAATGTACAAAACTGTGAAACTGTTTCCTGGATAGGCACCTCTCTGGATGCCTAGCACCCCTAAACCTCAGATCCTACAATCACTCCTGCTTTATGATAGCATAAAACATATCAAAAGAAAACAACAGCAGATTAATAATCCAAAGCAAAGTAGGGAATCTTATTTTTTTAAACAAACTTCAGCATCAGATGGTGATTTCTGAAATCTTTCCCAAAACCTTAGGAAGCGGCTCATCTTCGCAGCCTTGAAAGTGGAGCTTCTCAGCAGAGTTATCCATTTTATCTTCCCACCCAAAGCCTCCAGCAGGGCTACAGCTTCCCTTCTTCCACCTTCAACAGTCAGCACAGAGACAAACCCCTGTCTCCTGAGCCCTCACCAGACAGTCAGCTGATCTGCCGATGGAAGAAGGTAAATATCAACCAAGGTTATAAAATTATGAATGATCTATATTAGGTTAAGTAAACATGTTTCTGTTGCTGCCTGAACGTATCCGACAACTGCTTCATTATTCCCCTCTTTGTTTTGTTTTAACTTTTTCAGAGAGCTTCTTAAAGTTTAGACTTCACTATCAAACAATAGCTATAGCAAATATATGGAGCCTGTCAGGGGTCAGGAAGTGAAAATATTTTGAGGTTGCAAGAATTTGTTCCATCAGTTTAGAAAACCGTGAATCTGACCCTCTCTGGGCCAGATGCGTTTGTAATAGCTAATGAGCTGTGAGATGACAGTCCTCCTCAGAAGACGCCGCCTGCTTTGTGCGGGTTAACGTGGAAGGATCACCATGACACGGTTCGTCTTTGGAGATGGAACAGATTCTCAGTTTATTTTGACAAGCAACAGAAACACAAAGCGAACAACATTAGAGGCTCCTATTGTCCTCATCCACAACACAGGGACAAATGAGCAGATCTCAGGAGGGACAAACAGTTTATAAATGAATGAAGACATAAATAAATAAGCAACTAACTTTTATATATTTACATACCTGACTAACTCCTCTCCAGTTGCAGAACATATTTTGTGTAATTGTATAAAAATGAACTAATCTTAAACTGTTACAAAGAAGTATGAGTAATTAGATTGCTATAACATGTTTGTGTCTGGGCCTGTTGTGCAGATTCTTAACATCTTTATTCTGTCATGGGGCTTTAGCTGCTACGATGTAGTGGATCATCCACTAAAACTCGATCCATGGCTGTTACCCATTGCCTTTGGCGTATTTTATCAGCTGGAAACCTGTACATTTTACGTTTATTGTCCTTCTTTCATCTACCTGTGCAGCCTACAGCTCTACGTGTGTTAACCATGCTGATAAATTTTATTTAGCTCTGTTTATTGAAAACGGACAGATAATACGACGAAGGTGGGGTGTCTACCTGCCCTCCAGCCAGAAGTTGGGGGTGGGGTGGGGGGGGGGGGGGGGGGGGGGGCATCACGTGTCAAGGAGTCTGTAAGCAAAGTATTTTGCTACTGCTGTGATTTGTTTAGATTTCTAGGCTACAAAATCACAACAGGTACACTTTTTAAAATGCTAACCAGCACACACACACACACACACACACACACACACACACACACACACACACACACACACACACACACACACACATGTTTCCACTATCGGACAAGAAAGGATATTTCTGTTTCAACAAAGCTTTTTATAATAATTACAGAGAAGAGTGTTAAAGATGTGGATCACAGAAAAACATTTATTATTATTATTGTTATTATTTCTGGTTATAATCAGTCATTCTATTTCCATTTAGGCTGAACACGAAAATAGTTTCCTACACCTATCTTCTGCATTACCCTAGTGTTCATTTTGTTGACTAAATAGTTTAGGGTTTTTTGTGACAAATACATTTTTTGCAGAATAAAACTAAACAAAAACTGATACATACATGCCAATAAAGACTACATTATGACAATAAATGATCAACATTTTTGTTGACAAATAAAAGACGACAACAAAAATGGACAGAAATTAACATCCAATCAGAAAACGGAGATGATGGAAGACCGGAAAAGCAAACCAATCAGCAAATGGAACAGGTGGGACTAGATGAGAAAAGAACCAAGGAGCCGGCGCCAATGTTCAGCAGGCCTCGTCTCCGTCACTGTGTCCCAGGGCAGCTGTGGCCACATTGTAGCTCATCCCTACCAGCGTGTGAATGGTCGTGTGAAGGATTGTGTTGTGAAGCACCTTGGGGGGTGGGAGAACCCTGAGAAGACACGATACAAATACAGGCCATTTACCATTAATGCTTATTTATACAATTATAAATATAGAGTTGTTTTGATCCAAAGTGTGAAATGTGATTTTTTAATATTTCTTTACAGTTTCAAATAGGTGTATTTAATTCAATATAGCACCAAATCACAACAAGAGTCGTCTCAAGGCACTTCACAAGGTAAACATTCCAATACAGGTCAGTTCAGTAGGCCAATCAGTAAAAAGTTTCCTATATAAGGAACCCAGAAAATTGCATGAAGTCACTGACTAGTGTCAGAGACTTTACAGCAATCCTCATACTAAGCAAGCATGTAGCGACAGTGGAGAGGAAAACTCCCTTTTAACAGGAAGAAACCTCCAGAGGATCCTGGCTCAGTATAAGCAGCCGTCTGCCATGACTCACTGAGGATGGAGAAGACAGAGCAGACACATGCATACATATTTAATATTTCCTTTACATCAGAAGAAAAATACATATTTTAGTGGACTAACATTATTTTCTATTTTAGTAGACTAAAATAAGACTAAAACAAATAAGATCACTAAATTATGACTAAAATTATAAAGAATTTTTGTCAAAAGACTAAGACTGTGCGTTTTCCGTGCTCACCTTGCAGTCAACGTCGCTTGGACATGCAGATCTTGTCTATATTGAGTCCGTCGGTCCAGACACTTATGGAGGAAGTCCAAACTATAGGTCTTCACACAATGGAGGAGAATGAGGAACAAATTTATCTACGTTATAAATTCTCTTCAAGTATCTTAAATACAATAAACACAATATAAACACATTCGTAAATGCATTATCTTGGACTGTCACCAGTACATGACAGGATACCACAGAACAGCGCTACGCCCTCTGTTGTCCTGGCGGGGAATTGATTTGCAACGTTCCACATGGGACGGAGAAGTATGAGGGCAAAACGTCGCCGTACGTGCGTGTCTGTCCCTCGTGGAGCTGACGGAGAAGTATAAATTAGGCTTTAGACCATACCAACGGATGGCCATTAGGTTAAAAATCCCTGGGAGTTCAATCCCCAGCAAGAGGACAAGCAGATCAGACTCCCTGTCATCACTGGCAATGAGTGAAGAGGTGAATGAGTGGCGAAAGTTTTGTAACCGCTTGTTACAAATCAGTAAATGCATTTTGCTCCCGTAAAAGGAGACTTGGACCCCTCCCATGCATTTTAGACCGCATTTTTATGGTTATGTGTTAGGAAGCCGCCAATCGTTTTCAACAACTGGGTATCATTTAATTCATTTTCAACAACATTTAGATGGATATTTTTAGAGATTAATGGTAAAAACTACTAAATGTCTCTTTAATGATGTTCTTCTTTTACACTCATACCAAATATTTTTTATAGAACATCTGGAATTTCCTTTTGGACAGAGGACGAGTCTGGCAGGCCAGGCTATAATCTGAGCACACGGTTTACTGAACCAAGGGCATGGTTTGTTATGTCCTCTAAATAATCTCCCCAAATGACCCTGATGAGCTACATACAAATATAAAATGTTTTTTTGTTTAGTAAAAAAGTGGGCAGTCGATCTGTCCACAACTTCTGAGATCTACTGAGAAAAGGCTACAGTTTTGGCCACTAAGGGGAGTTGTAGGCAAGCTACTAAATCAACAGTAACCTAAACAAGTAGGATTACTGCAGCTCTGACAACTGGACTATATAAAAAAAAGACAAAATTTTGATGATCTCACATGAAATGTAAATTTCATTTTTAAGACGTATTAGTTCCCATTTTACTGGAAATTTTAGAGAAAAGGCTTTAATCAGTAGAACAATTAGAAATCAAGTAATTAGCACACATAACAGAAAGAAAAATCACAAAGATTAACAAAACAAATCATAGTCATAAAATGATCATGAAAACAAAACAACTAAATATTAAAAAAGAAAGATAATTAAAATCTGAAAACACAAAAGATTTAAGTCAAAGCAGCTTTAAATAAAAGTGTCTTCAGCTGTAAAAAAGTAATATACATTTATTTTTAACATAACAACATAAGAAAATGTATTTTATTTACATTTAACCATCTAGGTTTAGTGGAACCAGACATAACTTTGTTAAATTCAACATTTCATTTCTTAGAGCCAGATAAGATAAAATCCCTTAGTTACTTTGTAAATGATGTCACACATTCAGAGACTTGTATATTTCAGAACAGAGTCCATAATTATTCAATTTATTTATGTTTAGGTGAAGTTGTTTTTAAAGCTTTAGTTTATCACTGAATGGTATTGTCATGAATAATAATAACCTTTCATTCTGTGTATGCTTAATTTTTTTTTACTTTTATCTCCTTTTATGTTATTACACGGCTTGGTTATATCTGTAATCTCTCACAAAAAGCCTATAATTCCTCATGTCCTGTTAGCTGGCGTTTTATGAATTGTTTCAATGGTTTAATAGCTTTGTGAAGCACAAACCGGTCATCCAAGACTACATGTGACCAATACAACCAACCATCACATGAAAAATGAAGAACTGTACAACTCGAACTCAGGAAAAATGTCTTCTGAATATATAAGAAGCTGTTAAATTGTAGTTTATCACTGACTTTAGACCTCTTGTTCTCCTCAAGTGTCACCTGCTGTTCGACTCGCTGCAGGATTTGGTGGATCACATCAACAATTTCCACGTAAAGCCGGAAAAAGACTCAGGCTACTGCTGCCAGTGGGAGGGCTGTGCTCGAAATGGGAGGGGCTTCAATGCCAGGTAAAGGACTGTGCTACAGCCACACCTGTCAATGATCAATCCAAACGACTGTTTACTGTTTCAAACTGTAAATCACATAACCATGGCATGCTATGGAAGAATATAAACAAAAGAATTCCAGTGAAGCAATGACTTCACACAAATGATGGTAATTAAAACTCGTTGAGCAGTAAAAATGATAATGATCTTTTAAGTAGCTTTTATGGTGCCAGTTTTCAGGTTTACTATCATGTATTCACCTTCTGCTTCCCAAACCTTGTAATCTTTAAATGGGGTCTTGCTCATTAATGTATTTTAAATCTTCTGGTGATTTTTTAAACTTTGTCACCAGCAATCTGTTATAAGATTTGGCCATTTTCTTGAGATTGATCTATAAATTACCTGAAGGACAAGGCAGTTTAGTACATCAAACAGTATTTTAACTCCATTTTGATATTTAATGAGCTGATTCGATGATAAGGTCCTGTTTGATGATTTTGTCTGAAACTGCCTTTGTTCAATTCTTGTTTCAGTTTTAATATTTTCAGACTAAAAGCATAGAAAACCATTTCACTGGTCTGATGCGAAAACTGGACAAAAAATGAACTAAGAAGAAAAATGTCAATAAAGACCATTTTAACCCTCCCACTGTCTTTATGGGTGACCCTGCTAGGAAAGTTGACCACTGAGCAGGATTGATGGTTTATCCCTTGAGGTCCATGTGGCAGGGGTGAGGTGGTGCTCACTCCTCACCCCTGCCACATGGACCTCAAAGGATAAACCATCAATCCTGCTCAATGGTCAACTTTCCTCGTGGGGTCACACCCATTAGGACAGTGGGAGGGTAAAATAAAAACGTCAACTCCTTAGAAGGAAAAAAGAAATAATACATAGGTGTGCATATCATAATAAACATTTTAATAGTTCCATTTTTATTTTTTGATTTCTTTGTTAGGTACAAAATGTTGATTCACATCCGCACGCACACAAACGAGAAGCCACACCACTGTCCCACCTGCAACAAGAGTTTTTCACGTCTGGAGAACCTGAAGATTCACACCCGCTCACACACAGGTGAGTTCTTGGTCAGTGAAGAATTGCAAAGAAAATACGTCTACAGGTTTAAAAGTATCCTTCCAACAGATGTGGTCCCAGATCCAGCCATACTTTAGCCAGAAGCAATAGATAGGACCAAAGACAAATTCTTGGCCAAAGTGCAATTTGTTATGGGTCATTACAGAAAAGCTTACTAGTGATTCATTCAGTTTTTCATAAAATGATCATGCACAGATGGAATTCACAATAGTTTATTTTGATGTTTAACAAAGAACATTTCTCATTCTTTTTCTTTTTTTTCTTTCAATGGTTTAATTTTCCTGCACAGACTCAGGCAAAGTTGAGACCAAAGCTTTACATTGTTAAAGGTAAAAAAAACAAAACAAATTAAATAATCCATATTTTATTTAAGAATAAAATAAAAGATGGTGAATGTTATCTGTACACAACAATGTTAATAATAATCCAGCTAAATGAAAAACTCACTCGAACGGCTCATCACCAAATGAAACAAATCAGCTGTGTTCATGATCTAAAACATACTGGAAGCAGACTGCAGTGCCAGCCCTGTCAGCTCCACTTTATTAAGTCCAACAGGGACCAGACCAGCACTCTTAAGTTGCAAGTGCGGTATTCTGGTTACAGAGGGCGGTGGGGGCTGAGTGACATTTCATTAACCCTGTAAAGCAGGCGTGGGGAACCCTGGTCCTACAGGGCAGGTATCCTGCATGTCTTTGCTCCAACACTTCTGATTCAGTGGTTGGTTCACCTGTTCAGCAGCTCATCAGGCTTCTCTCTAAACCTCCTCCTGTCTATAGAAGGTAAAGCGGTATATATATATATATATATATATATATATATATATATATATATATATATATATATATATATATATATATATGTATGTATGTGTATGTATGTATGTATGTGTGTGTGTGTGTGTGTGTGTGTGTGTGTGCAGTATAGCAGGCCATATTGTGTTTGTTTTAACCACTCAGTCACTCACACATGCGCACAAAGATGAAAAAAGATGTCAACATAACTCCTTTTTTATGTTTTTTTTCTGTCACTTTCAAAAGGGGAAACCTCTGCACAAAGTACCCGGCATACAATAGCATTCAGCTTTTTTCACAAGTCACACACTAATAGTATGTCTTTAAAGGAACACTTGTAAAACTGAATGACTCACTCTTGGCAGACTTTGTCACAGCACCACTGGGTGTGGGGAAGTCAGACTTTGATCCATACTCAGATATGAGAGTCTGTGGTACGGAAGTAGGTTCTTTTTGAAACACAAGCAGCAGCAGAGTCGGGAAACACTACATCTGGCAACTTCCCTTTATAATGTAATCGTCACATTATGCTTTTGTTCCATTCAATTTGAGTTCAAATGGTTACACCGGAAGCTTGTTCAACCCTTGAAAGGTTTATGTTGGGTTAGGGATGTGTTAACTTGGTCTGGTGTTTATACAGAATAAAAAAATACAGACGTGAATAAGGCAAGGCATCTTTATTTGTATAGCACATTTCAAACACAAAGGCAATTCGAAGTTCTTTACCGAAGCAAGAACAGCAAACACAGTAAAACAAACAAAGATACTAATTTCAGATTTAGCAAACAGATAAAAGCCTTAGTCAGAAGTGTAGCAGTTACAGTGCATAAGGTGCAGCATAAGAACCATTTATTCAAAGGCTGATGAATACATGAAGGTTTTTAGTTTTGATTTAAAAGTTTCTAGAGTTGGGGCACATTTGAGGTCATGAGGAAGCTGATTCCATCTGTGTGCAGCATAGTAACTAACAGCAGCTTCACCCCATTTGGTTCTGACCCGGGGTTCTACCAGCTGACTGTTCCCCAATGATCTAACAGTCCTGCTGGTGCTGGGTGTATATACTGGAAGGAGATCCAACATGTATCTGTCATGACTCGAGGCAAGTGTTTAACCCAAGATATGCGGAATCAAAACTCGTCGGCAGAATTGGTAAAATAAAGTTCTTTATTACAAAACGGGAACAGAAAACAACACAGGGAAGTCCTGTGTGAGAGAGCGGTGCCGCTCTAGTCCTTGTAGCGTTCAGGATGAACGAGAGAGGGGGGAGCCAGGGGTGAGCGCTGGGCAGAGAGTGAAACGCTCCAGGAGGGGTGAGATAGCAGAGGGACCCAAACAGGAACCACGGAGGAGGATGGGACGTGGTGTGAGAGATCCAATGTTCGTAGACAGCAAGGTGGAGTAGATTGTGTGAGAGTCCTGAGCAAAAGGGAACAAACACCAGACGTCAGGCAAAATCCAAAAACGTAATCCAATACACGGTCCGAGGTCATAAATCCAATAATCAGAGAGCTAGTCAAAAACCACGAGCGAACAAGAACAAGCAAGTGGCTGGGACTACCAAAACTGGTGCAATCATCCGGCAAATTGATGTGTCTCCATCCTCCTTTTGAACCGGCGTCCCTGATTGGAAAATCTCCTGCAGCTGCCGCTCCCTCTGCTCCTCACCTGTGGAGAATTAGCTCAGAGCTGATGAGAGGAGATGGTGTGACTCACCTCTGCCCAGGAACATGACAGTATCCATCCATGCCACGGAGAGATTTATAGACTAGTAGAAGCACTTTGAAGTTAATTCTGTAGTTTACTGGTAACCAGTGTAGAGATCTAAAAACAGGAGTGATGTGCTCAGTTCTTTTGGTCTTTGTTAAGACTAGACTCAGCATTCTGAAGAAGCTGCATTGGTTTTACAGCTGTTTTGGGAAGGCCAGTTAGAAGACCATTACAATAGTCCAGCCTGCTGGATATGAACACATAGTTTCTCTAGCTCTTGTTTTGACATGAGACCTCTGGGTCTGGCTAATTCATGGAGATGATAAAATGCTGATCTAGTTACAGCCTTAATGTGACCAGTGAAGCTCAAGTCTGAATTTATGGTAACACCAAGATTTCTAACCTGAATATTCGTCTTTATTCCTTTGAAGCTAAGTTGAGAAATAGATTCCATCCCATCCTTCTTATTTCCAAAGACAATAACTTCAGCCTTGTCTTTGTTTAACGGAACAAAACTTGATTGCATCCGGTCATTAACTTGCTCTTGGCACTGATAGAGTGAGTCTAGGAGTGTCATGATGAGGAGTGGGTGGCGGCGGACCATGTGTGGTGGAGCTGACCAGGAGGCAGGAATGCAGGCACGGATAACATAAAAAATGGATTTAATGGCAGGATAAGACAGGAAACAACAAGAACAACACAACAACAATGATCCGACAACTGACACATACAAGACGGGAGGTATAAATACACAGGGAACAATCAGGAACACGAGCAGGTTAACAAGGGGCAGGTGAGGCCAATAAACAACTAATCAGGGGCAGGAGAGAGTATGAGTCAGAGGGAGGTAGGAGCAGATCGTGACAGTACCCCCCCCCCCCCCCCCCCTTAAGGGGCGGATACCAGACGCCCACAAGAACCACATAACTAGGAAGACACAGGGACTCAGGAGACTCCTGACGTAGACTAGGGAAACTCGGGGAAACACAGGAAACTAGGGAAACTCGGGGAAACACAGGAGACTCGGGAAACACAGGAGACTCGGGAAACTCGGGGAAACACAGGAGACTCGGGAGAAACTTGGACTCTGGAACTCGGGGACTCTGGGACTTGGACTCGGGGACTCTGGAACTTGGACTCGGGAACTGGGACTCTGGAACTCGGGAACTGGGACTCAGGAATTCGGGAACTGGGACTCTGGAACTCGGGAACTGGAACTCGGGAACGAAGATACTGGAACTCGGGAACAAAGATACTGGAACTCGGGAAAGAAGATACTGGAACTCGGGAACGAAGATACTGGAACTCAGGAATGAAGAAACTGGAACTCGGGAACGAAGAAACTGGAACTCGAGAACGAAGAAACTGGAACTCTGCTGCAGCAGGCGGGAGACTCTGAAGAGGCTGCAGCAGGGGGACTTCGAAGAGACTGCAGCAGCGGGGCTCCGAAGAGGCTGTAGCGGGGGGGCTCCGAAGAGGCTGCAGCAGGGGGGCTCCGAAGAGGCTGCAGCAGGGGGGCTCCGAAGAGGCTGCAGCGTGGGGCTCCGAAGAGGCTGCAGCAGGGGGGCTCCGAAGAGGCTGCAGCGTGGGGCTCCGAAGAGGCTGCAGCGTGGAGCTCCGAAGAGACTGCAGCATGGGAGGCCTGCAGTCGTAGACCCCGCAGGTGTGGGCCAGGAAGTTGATGTACTGAAGGCAGCGATGCGAGGAAAACAGGAACGGCGGCAGGTACTCGACAACGGTCAGAGCAGGTGCACATCACGATCCGCTGGGTCACAGGCGGAGGCTTGGGTGAAGGGAAGCAGAAGAGGAGCGGGGAGACCGGCCCTACCACCCCGGAGAATGTTGGCGTGTGTAGGGGGTGTAACTCCATCAAAACTCCAGGATCTGCAGCTTCCGTGGAAAAACAGGACGGGGCGAAAAAGCAGGAGAGGAGAATGGGTTCGACCACCCCGAGAACAAGTAGGATGCGCCGAAACCCCCTCAATGGGTTCGACCACCCCGAAAACAGGTAGGATGCGCCAAAACCCCTCGAGTCAAAATCTCCTTCAGTTAAATGGAGAAAAAGCAAAAAATAAAACCAAATAATCCTCCAAGCAGATGTTCAGAGCTCACCACAGGTCCAGGTTGGTCAGATCATTCTGTCTTGATGAGGTGTGGGTGGCGGCGGGCCATGTGTGGTGGAGCTGACCAGGAGGCAGGAATGCAGGCACGGATAACATAAAAAATGGATTTAATGGCAGGATAAGGCAGGAAACAACAAGAACAACACAACAACAATGATCCGACAACTGACACATACAGGGAGTGCAGAATTATTGGGCAAGTTGTATTTTTGAGGAATAATTTTATTATTGAACAACAACCATGTTCTCAATGAGCCCAAAAAACTCATTAATATCAAAGCTGAATGTTTTTGGAAGTAGTTTTTAGTTTTAGCTATTTTAGGGGGATATCTGTGTGAGCAGGAGACTATTACTGTGCATAATTATTAGGCAACTTAACCTAACTTCCTGTACCACTGCTTGAAGAAGGTGTCTTCCAGAAACTGGCAGTAGGACTGGGAGTTGAGCTTGACTCCATCCCCAACCCGAAAAGGCCCCACAAGCTCATCTTTGATGATACCAGCCCAAACCAGTACTCCACCTCCACCTTGCTGGCGTCTGAGTCGGACTGGAGCTCTCTGCCCTTTACCAATCCAGCCACGGGCCCATCCATCTGGCCCATCAAGACTCACTCTCATTTCATCAGTCCATAAAACCTTAGAAAAATCATTCTTGAGATATTTCTTGGCCCAGTCTTGACGTTTCAGCTTGTGTCTTGTTCAGTGGTGGTCGTCTTTCAGCCTTTCTTACCTTGGCCATGTCTCGGAGTATTGCACACCTTGTGCTTTTGGGCACTCCAGTGATGTTGCAGCTCTGAAATATGGCCTAACTGGTGGCAAGGGGCATCTTGGCAGCTGCACGCTTGACTTTTCTCAGTTAATGGGCAGTTATTTTGCGCCTTGGTTTGTCCACACGCTTCTTGCGACCCTGTTGACTATTTTGAATGAAATGCTTGATTTTTCGATGATCACGCTTCAGAAGCTTTGCAATTCTAAGACTGCTGCATCCCTTTGCAAGATATCTCACTATTTTTGATTTTTCTGAGCCTGTCAAGTCCTTCTTTTGACCCATTTTGCCAAAGGAAAGGAAGTTGCCTAATAATTATGCACACCTGATATAGGGTGTTGATGTCATTAGACCACACCCCTTCTCATTACAGAGATGCACATCACCTAATATGCTTAATTGGTAGTAGGCTTTCGAGCCTATACAGCTTGGAGTAAGACAACATGCATGAAGAGGATGATGTGGACAAAATGCTCATTTGCCTAATAATTCTGCACTCCCTGTACAAGACGGGAGGTATAAATACACAGGGAACAATCAGGAACACATGGGCAGGTTAACAAGGGGCAGGTGTGACCAATAAACAACTAATCAGGGGCAGGAGAGAGTAGGAGTCAGAGGGAGGTAGGAGCAGATCGTGACAAGGAGACCAGATTCATTAGGTGATAGAGCTAGGTAGATCTGGGTGTCATCTGCATAACTATGGTAGGCGATGTTGAACAATGATTAATTTATTTGTGTTATCACAATGACAAGAATTATGTTTGAAATTGTCAATGTGGGACTTTAAACCTAAGAAAAAAACAACCAAAACAAACAAAAGAAACAGAACAAACTGCTCAGCTTCAGGAAAATTACTCTTGAGATCAGATAAAACGAAAAAATAAATGCATGTCCTGCCATACACACACTTCAAAATGTACATCATGTGACATATCTGCTTGCCATAAATGTGGCATGATACTTGTTGCTGCGGACAGGCTAACATTCTCAAACAGCTGATTTAAAGATGTGGAGCACTGAAAAACTATTTTTAATCATCATTTCTGACTAGAATCAGTCACTTTGAGTTTTTCCTGCAGGCTGAACATGAAAATAGTCTTGTACACCTATCTGCTGCTTTAGCTTCTGATAGAAAATAGATGGTGAAACTTTAGGATTAGAAAATCCTAACAGATCTTTGTCACACTGTCGCGTAACGTTCATGGACTCACCCATCTTAACTCGTTCCCCAGGGGGAGGGTAGACGAAGATGTGTAGTAGCACAAGAAGTCCCAGGAGAGGGGAGGAGTCCAAGATCCCACTTGACATATACATATACATATACACAGTGTAACGTGATGAAGGAGCTATTCCACCGAAGGTTATTTACCCTCTCTCCACAGATGCCTCTGACACAGTACTAATCTTCACAGTTGCACGCTCCCTCCCTCACGCTCACACATACACATACAACCTAAGACTTACAAAAATGAATGCTAGACACCCACTCACGCTCCCCATACACACCCTATTCACTCTGGTCCCAGTACTGCTGCACAAGGGGTACAACCATCACCGGTTCCCAGAGTTTGCTTCTTTCTGCTGGGGTGATGATGAGCAGGCCCAACGCTGAGCAAAGGATCCCACCACCCCAGACCCCAACAAGACGACCAGCTCCCCCTCCTAGCCTCCAGCCCTGGGAAGCCAAGCGACAACAGAGGTGTTCTAAGGCCCCTAGTCTCATTCCACCTGCTCCAATACAATGTTAGTACGTGTTGATTAGGTGAATTCCATGGCTGTGGTGAGTGGGCAGTGCAGGCATCGTCTGGCCTTCGCCAGCTGATGCAACCACACAACCCCACTTCCCCACACAGCCCTCTGTGTCTAAGGGCAGTTTAAAATTAGAAGTGGGCACCAGCACTCGGAATGAGGCTGAAAGATCCCCTTGCCAAATGCTGTTGAGTGTGCTCACTCCCAAGGCCCTTAGTGTGTGTTTGTGTGGAATGTCGTTGGTGGAAGTGTTTAATTTGCAAATAAAATTGGGGGGCAGGCTGCCACAGGAATGCGGAAATGGGGTCCATACCCGCACCCCTGACTTGCCCACCCCCCAAGGTCCTATGTGCATGATTGTGTGATGATGTGAAGGAGCAGGAGGAGAAAATGTATGGGAATGGGGAGGAATGGCTGATTGGCTTAAGCCCTCCAGGGAGCCAGCTCTCCCACTGGCCCCTATAGGCACCTCTGTTCCCAAAATGCCACCAGGGCATGGAGACCCCAGCCCATCTCGCCAGGGCTCAAAGCAGCAGCATTGCAGAGCCCCATGGAGTCTGAGGGCACCAACCCAGCCCCACTCTAGCAGAATATCTACTCCCATCTCTGCATTTGCACAACTTCCAGAATATGTAAGACATGAGACATCCAGGTAAGGTTGGTTCCTCCCCCTCCTGGACATCCCCCTTCCCCCGTGATGGAACAGGGTTGTTATTATTTCGGAGGAGCCAAGGTCCACCTGAGGCCCCTGAGCCTGGGCCATGCACTGCCGCTTGTTCCTGCCTTCTTCCCGGCAGCTTACAAGTCAGGACCCCATCCCCAAGTACCCGCCCAGATCCCCACACGGGGCTCACCGCCCCCTTAAACTTGTTCAACCTTCACAGAAGGCAGACCGTATCTAATGCTTACCATCTCTTTTCACCAAACTGAGAAGTGTTTGTACTAAGTTGTAGCAAACATTCAACCAGCTTGTGGCATTGTGGTAACGACTCTAAATTCCTCAGTAGACTCCATGAGTCACTCAGAGGGTGGTGTCAAAAAGACATTCAATCAAATTCATCTCCTTTGCTAAACATTTCAACAAAGTAAACACTACCTACTGGTGTTTAATCTTCAGATATATTTCGTATGATTCATGCTTCACACAATAAAACCATTTTCCTTCATGGAGGAGGATGTCAATATTAGTCATGACATCCCACCTCTGATTGGCTAACAGTAAAGCGACTCTACCACTGACTTTGTTTGCTCTTCAATGTTGTTGTTTTACCTCCGGAAATAACACAAGCCTGAAGGAGTTCTGCCATATTGTGGAGCTGCTAATGCTAACAGTTAGCTTCTACTATTCGGGACAGGCTCTGCTCTCTCCTGGATGCTAAACCAACAACAGCCTTCCACGTTGCCAGTCAAGATTAGCGAGTCCATGAATGCTAAATACTGACAGTGTGACGTAGACCCAATCCTATCTTCAGCAGCGCCGCTTCTGGGACACGTCTGAAAATCTGAAAACCAACTGGTATGAAGCACTCCATAGACTATAATGGATTCTATTTGAAACAGCAATGTTCCGCTGCCGTTCTGTGCCGCTGATGCTTTCAGTGTGAAATAGGCTTTAAGCTGTAAGCAAAAGGTTTATTACAGACTACCACCATAAATGTGTAAATGTTCGACATCAAGGTTAAGAGTTTACTTCTCACAGGTTTATTTCTCACACCGGTTTCTCTCTTCCTCCAGGTGAGAAACCCTACATCTGTCCGTACGAAGGCTGTAGCAAACGCTACTCCAACTCCAGCGACCGCTTCAAGCACACCCGCACTCACTATGTGGACAAGCCTTACTGCTGCAAGATGGCCGGCTGTTTGAAACGCTACACAGATCCCAGCTCACTACGTAAGCACATCAAGGCCCATGGGCACTTTGTAGCCCAGGAGCAAGGCACTACCAACAGGACGGGAATGGGGCTGGGCTTCACTGGGCACAGGAGTCCTTCTGAGCTGCCCTCTGTAGGGGGGGCTCATGTTATCATCCCTGGAGCTGCTGCAGCTCTACTCGGAGGCCTTAGGACCTCCTTGCCGCTCTCTGCTCTCTGCCATTCCACAGCACTGGGTCACAACGGGGTACCCCTCTTCTCACTGGGGGGAGGAGGAGGCTGCAGCTTTGGGCCACTCAGCCTTTCAGAGTCCACTCTGTTACATTTTGGACTCTCAGCTGCAACAGTGCTGGGGCTGGGGGCTGGGGGCGGGTTTGAACAAGTACTGAGGAAAGAGCCTGAGGATAAGGAAGAAGAGGAGGAGGGCAAGGTTCTGAACCTGTCTGCAGGGGCGGGCGCCAGGCAACGAGATCCTTTGCCATTTGTGGTTGTTCCGTCAAAGTCATTCTTCCTCAAACCTGCTGTTGTCAGTTAAAATGTGCAGTCTGCAGTGCATGGGACCTGAAAGAGGTGAAAAAAAAATACCATAAGCTTCAGATCCATGAAAAGCATTCCAGTTGTTTCAGCCCCTTGACAGTGTGTTCACTTCTATTATGGCTTACTGTGCTAGTAAAACAATTTTGAACACTCTTCATGAAGTTAAAGTAGTCAACAAATTATGACTTTTAGCTCCAAGCTAGAGCTTAGCAGAGCCTAAATCATTGTGTCAAACTCCAAAAATGACACCAAATATCTTCTTAAAGGTGTGGAACACTGAAAAACAATGTTTAAAATCTAATTTCTTATTTGAATGGGTCACTCTGAGTTTTTCATGCAGGCTGAACATAAAAATAGTCTCCTACACCTATCTCCTGCATTAGCTTCTGATAGAAAATAGACGGTGATACTCTAGAATTAGAAAAGCCTGACAGATCTACACCACACTGTCACTTAACATTCATGAACTCACCCTCTTGACTCACGACGGGGGAAGGGTGTTGATAGTTTAGTGTCCAGGAAACAGCAGAGAACATCTCAGCTAGTAGAAGCTTACCATTAGCATTAGCAACTCCACCACACAGCGGAACTCCTTCAAACTTGTGTTTTTTTACGGAGATAAAACATCTGCGTCAATCCAAGTCAGTGTTAGAGTCATGTTACTGTTATCCAATCCGGGGAGAGGTGACCAAATATCAGGAAATAAGACTACAAATGCTGTTGTCTGAAGCTACTTTCTCCCCCAGGTGACATTCTCAAAAGCTCTGTTGAGATGTGGCTCACTTTTAGTTCCTGGAAATGGTGCACTGGTGTTTTTTGCCCCCCGAGAACAACTTACAAGAAATGTATTCTCACTAACGACCAGTGGCGCCCCAGAAAAGTTTCATTGGGGTGACCATGAGGCCAGAGAAAACTTTGGGGTGGCACACCAAACTGATCCTCTTGGTAAATCTGGGAAAGTTTAGCCTGTAGTAATTCAATAAACGCTCCTTTATTCATTTTCAATAAAAAACATTAATATGACCTAATAAAGAACACTGATTGTCCCTGGGTGTGGACAGTAGGGTGGCCTTTCTAGGGGTGGCCAAGGCCACACCTGTCCATCACTTGGGCGCCATTGCTAGCGACCACTGCAAATGTATCAATTAAATGAGTGTTCCACACCTTTAAAATACACAATTTACAGAAAATTTGTGTTTAACATTAAATGACTTTTTCTAATGTCCCTTTCCTGTTGTACAATGTGATTTCTAACATGTAACAAGGGATTTGATTTTATTTTTACACCCATTGTCAAGTTTATGCACTCAGTAGGCTTAAATGTTACACTACCCTGCTCCCTAAAATGGCTAGAGTGAAAACTAAGTAGGTATTTATAATTTATACTATTCAAAAATGTATTTTTGCACATTTTTATGAATTTACAATTTGAAATTCAGATTCTCGTCTCACAGATGATCATGCCTTGCAAAGAAGTCCTTTGTGCATTTCACAAATTCTTTCTGACAACAACTGCCTTGTGTGAGGGATTCACCTGAGAACAGTCCTCACCTGTCTGGTTTCCAGTTTCACAGCAAACTAATTAGCCCCCTGAGAAAAGAGCCTTAACGACTCACATGGTGATTCATGAGTCACTTATCGACCAGCTGAACTGCAGTCATAGTTCAGGTCACAGCTGCTTTTTTTGTTTGTTTTAGCCTACAGGTAATCCTTTGTTACATTTTTATTATTTGCAAATCCATAAAGTACGTTTAGGTTTAGGATCGACACAAAGCTTATGGTGTGACTTTTAGTTTCACGATTCTGCGAAAAAATGGCTGACGCAACTGAATGTAGGTTTAAGGCTAATTATTGTTTGCTGCGTGTATTAGCTTAGCTGTTTCTACATTAATCACAGAGAGACAATGATCTAAGTGGGATCTGCATTTATTTTAACGTGACGTGAAAGCAAAACGTCATTCAAGCAATAAGTTAGACAAAGGTGTGTGTAAATACACATTTGCTTTAATGTTAAGAAAAGGAAAGGCACATAGAAAATCTAGACTCTCAAAATGTTAAAGACATGTATTAGTTTTTGTTAACCACAGCATCATCTGCATGTAACTGCATGTTTGAAACTGTATTGATGTTTTGTTCCTGATGGTAAAAGTTAGTTAGGTTTTCTGTCAAATGTGCAATTTCTATTTGTTTGTGTATTGTCAATAATAGTCAGAGATTTGAAGCACAAATAAAAGTAAAATGTTGCCAAAGACCCAGGAGGATTAAAGCTCCTGTTCTGGAATAATGATGAAATATTTGACAATGACCACATGTGGTCAGTTTTCATGTTGGCTTGCTTGTATTCTTGTTTGCACATTGATTTATTCTAATTAGCATCATCCAAGCTGTTTAAGTGCCTTGTGTCTCAGATGAAATATACCACACAGAAATATATATTTACCTGGGTGAAAAAAAAGTTTAAATGTACAGTTTTCAATTCATAACTTGACAATAGATGTTTGGACATCGGCGCTTATTGCAACGTTTCATAAACTTCACCAGTGTTGATGATTTGTCTTTGAAAACCATGCAACCATAATAAATTCCTTTGTAAAATATAAATATATATATTTCTATCATGTTTTTGTATTTGACATGCTTATTTGTGATTTGTGTTTCATAATTTGTGACCTTTATTTGTTATTCAGCTTTTAAAATAATAATAAAGCAAATAATTTGCAAGAATTTTGTGATTTTTCTGTAAATTATTCCATTAAACGTATTTTTCTGCTGTTAATTTAGGAAGCAGAAGAAACAACCTTTTATATAGCGCCTCTCAAGACAAAAAACGACGAGGTATATCACGGGAATAAAAATAAAAATGGAAACAAATAAAGAACAAAATTGTGTAAGTCAATGGGTGGATTTTAATTGTGATGAAAAGAAAAGCAAATGTGAGGAAAAGGAATGAGCAAATGAATAAGACAGAGCTAATCAGTGGATCCTGGGAATTGTGGAATTGGTAGAACGAGCTGAATAAGGAGAGGGTGTATACGCATTCAAGCATCCTCACTGCCATTGCCTCCACAACCTTCAGTTTATTTCATTATATTTTGGCTTATTACTCTTTCAAAGCCATAGAAAGCAAAAACAAATAACACAAAAATATCTAAACATGCAGCTTCATTGGGAATGGAATAGTGGTAGGACAGCCCAGCCTTTATTTCAAGCTCTATAACTCAAGAGGTTTTCACAGTTGAACCATTGTTTAAAGCTGCTATTGCAAATCTGGAAAACAAGTTAGCTTAAAACATTTTATCATGCCTCTTAAACACCTTCTAAGATAGTATAGCTATAAATACATTGTGGGGATTTAAAAAATGGAAAAATAAAGTTCTCTTGCATTTGTCTGAAAATCTCTGCCAATACCACATTTTGGACCGAAAGCAACTACTGGACCATCTGGTTTTTGGAATCGATGAATCGCTGCACTTCTACACTTCCTGGAGTACACCATACACTCTTGACATGCTGTGAAACAGAACACCACGGGTGTGAGAGCAAGGCCGGATTATAATATGGGCAAACTGGGCACAGGCCCAGGGGCCCACAGCCACAAGGGGGCCCACGCAAGCAGCAGTCTTTTTTTTATTTTTTTATGCAGCAGTCTTAACTGGGAGAAACAAGTTGACAAGTAATTAAAAATTTGCCCACATTTTCTAAGTTAACACACATTTCTTTTAACAATGGTAGTTTCTGCATCTTTACTGTTCCCCAGCTATTTCAGCCCTCTCCCCCCTCCCTCTGCGCAGCAGCCGCAAACTCACTGATGCGCCGCAAACTCACTGATGCACTGCAAACTCACTGATGCGCTGCAAACTCACTGATGCGCCTGCAGCCTCTCAGAGTCCCTGCTGAGTGCTGATCTAAACATTGAAAGAAACATTTCATTTTCTGTTCCTCACTTCTGATGATTTTCACGTCTGTTTCTTGCAACCACCAGGTACAAAAACGAGTTTGTTTTTTATTTGACTATTTTTCTGTCCTGTCTGTTTATTATCTTCCTGCATCTCCTCTCAATCCTAAAGAAAAACTGCCACCTGGCTTCATATTTTTTCACCTCATGAGTTACCTTTGAACTGCAGTTAAAAATGATCTACTGACTGCAAAAGTAGCGGGGTGCGCGCCGCACGCGGGCCGCAGTGGTGAGGTGAATTCACCGGAGGACAAAACAGGTGATGCGCTCCACTCGTATCAGGCACAAATAAAAGACAGAAAGCATGAAAGGATTTGAGCCGACATGAACGATCGCGTGTTAACTTTGTTCATGAGGTGGCGACACTTTGAGAATGTCACTGTGGCCGTGCTCAGGACGCAGCTGTCTGGAGCGCGTCAACGATCAAAGTTCTGCGTTAGGGGTTGAATCAACTGGTCGACTAGTCGACTTCACTGCTCTGTAGTGACTTTTTATGACTTTCATAGACTAGTCGCTGTCAAGTGATAATGATCGAAAAGATGCAGTCCTCGGAAAAGACAGCAGGTGACGAGCCCCTGCGCGTTGGGAGGCGATGCGCTGTGCCAGAGCGTTGGCATCTGACGCCCGCCGTAAAACGGACATTTGACCGAATTGTGACCTTTACCCTCTTGCAATTTAACCTTCCCCTCACCCCCATCCTAAACTTAACCAGCTTGCGCATGCAAAGCTCTGATCATTGTCGTGCTCCAGACATCTGCGTCCTGAGCACGGCCACAGTAACATTATCAAATTAGGTGTCACCACCTCCAAAACAAATTTAACACGCGATCGTTCATGTCGGCTCATTTCCTTTTATGTTCTCTGTCTTTTATTTGTGCCTGATGCGTTTCGCTGCTGTGGAGCGGGGCACATCACCTGTTTTGTCCTCCGGTGACGCACCTCACCGGTGTTGCGGCCGGCGAGCAGCGTGCACTCCGCTGTTTTTGCGGTCGGTAGATCTTTTAGAACTGCAGTTCAAAGGTAACTCATAAGGTGAATATATATGAAGCCAGGTAGCAGTTTCTCTTTAGGATTGAGAGGAGATGCAGGAAGATAATAAACAGATACAGGACAGAAAAATAGTCAATTTAAAACAAATTAGTTTTTGTACCTGGTGGTTGCAACAAACAGACACCATTGAAGGTAATCAGAAGTGAGGAACAGAAAATGAAATAATTATTTTAATGTTTAGAGCAGCAGGAACTCTGAGAGGCTGCAGGCGCATCAGTGAGTTTGCGGCTGCAGCACAGGGGGACGGGGGGAGAGGGCTGAAGCAGCTGGGGAACAGTAAAGATGCAGAAACTACCGTTGTTAAAAGAAATGTGTGTTAACTTAGAAAATGTGGGCGCAATTTTAATTGTCAAAAACTCCAGCACACATTGTGCCCAGGGGCCCCTGCAACGATAATCTGGCCCTGTGTGAGAGGTTCTCTGTTCAATAATATCAGAGTAGGAGAAACAGCCAGCTGCTACCACTTGACTTTAGGACAAACTACCAGAGTCCCAAAAATAAAAACACAATGTGCAACAAATGTACGGCAAACTACGTTTGTATCTGGAAAACGGCAACTGGTGTTTAGCGCATTCTTGTTTCCTTTGTCAATGTGGGTTTCCAGATCCGGTGGACACGGATCTAGTGAAGATACCCAAGGGGAGAGTGAGTGTTCCATGATTGTGTTTACATTCAAAATCTAGCTTGTTTGCAGATTTGCTGTAGCAGCTTTAAAGATCAAATTGATCACAGAAAGTTGGGCTTCACATCACTGAGCTGATATTTAGACTTCTTTCATGCTTTTAAAACCATTGCAATTTAAGCATAAGGATTTTGGTAGATTGTCCAATGGATATGTTGGCAATAATGATGTAGCACTTTTTCATAATCTCAACATTGCAATTTTTTAATATAAAAAAAGCTCTTTTTACTCTTGTAAACTTGAAATTTATAGACATAAAAACACAGATAAAAATAATTTTTCACTCACTGTGTCTATAACTCCTACAGGCCTGGTGGGTTCTACATAAGTTGAGTGTGCACATTTAAATTCCTATTTAAATCTGAGCTTCAGATTTTCCTTCAAAACAGAAAATTAAGGATCTGTAAACTTGTAGTGTCTTGAATGAAAAAACAACAACCTGTAGAAACAAAAAAATTGATACTTTTTGATTCTGGATTTTCTGTAATTGTTATGATTCGCCTCTTTTTGTGTTTGTTTAACCCTGTTCTCTGTTATTTTGTTCAGGTCAGCTGCAGCTCCTCTCAGGAGCCCTCCTCTCCCCTGTGAACCTCCTGGAGTGCTGCAGCTGAACCACATCACCATGATTGCCCTCGCCTTATTTCAGGCCACTGCTGTCAGTCCTCAGTGTGGAGTTCTCTTACCTAGTTGTCTGTTTATGGAACAATTTTGGTTTCGGTTTTTGGTTCCCACAGTCAGTGGAGGAAGTTTTGTTATTAAAACACTTTTTGAATTCAGGTTAATGAATGTTATTCCTGTGACTGGGTTACTGCCGAACCCCACCGTGACAGTAATGTGTCATATAGATTTTGCATGGGGACATTTAATTTGAACCACACTTTTGACTTAGTGCCACTTTCATATTCAACCAGAGTGGGACCAAAGATGATGGTGTGAGGATTTCATTGGATCAGTTAAAAATTAGTAGCAGCCTTTTAGATTATTAATAAAGCACTGTGGTTGCTATGTACTGGAATGTTGGGCAATAATCAAATTAAAGAGCAAGGTTCACAGACAAACCTTTTTTCTCTCAAATTTGAAAATGATTAGCCACTCTGAGTTTAGCATGCGGGCTGTATGTGAAAATAGTCTTTTATCCCTATTTCCTGCATTAGCTTCTGATAGAAAATAGACATAAAAGTAAGTAAATTTTATTTATGAAGCACTTATCACAGACATAGAATCACAAAGTGCTTCACATCAAAACAAAATAAAACAAAGTCATAAAATCATAATGACCCCAAAACAGAAATAGATTAACATCAGAAAAAATAAAGTCATTAATTTATAAAATTTCATAAACAGATGAAACATAAGTTAAAAATAAGAAAATGAAAGGTTTAGGTAAAAGCAGCTTTTAATAAAAGGATCTTACGCTGATTTTTAAGTGTCATGGATTTTATCAATATGTTTATCAATAAACCCATTTCCTGCAGCTAAAGAGAGGGACAAGAAGCAATAAGGCAGACATACAACCAAATCATGATTTTGTGGCAAGTGCGCAGGGCAAATGCCCTGATCATCTGGTCGCAGAGTTCATTTATACAATGAGATAAGAAAGGACTTGGAGTGGATCATGTGTAAGAGAGAGCGTGTGTGTATGGGAGGACAAGAATGTGTGTGTGTGTGTGTGTGTGTGTGTGTGTGTGTGTGTGTGTGTGTGTGTGTGAATGCTTTCAGGACATTCAGTTAATAGATCTGTTAATAGGACTAAAGTAATGAAATATAAAATTTCCATAACACTACGTAAGGACAAAGGAAGATCATTCCAAAGTCGGGGTGCAACAGCCTTGAAGGAGCAATCACCTCAACTTTTGTATCTGGTCTTTGGAACTTCTAGAAGGTTCTGGTGAGTGGACCTGAGGGCTCGGGTTGGAGCATAAGGCTTTAACAGTTCAGTAATAGGGAGGAGCTTGACCATGTGGAGCCCTGAATGTTATAGTCAGGATTCTAAAGTTAATGGGTAACCAGTGCAGAGACGTTAGAATAGGAGTGATG